ATTTCTCGTTCTTGATTGCAAATTTACACAAATTAATTCACCTTACTTTAACAAAAATATTTTAAATTGTAGTAACTTATAATACTCCTCTTTGTTAATTGTTAGACATATTTTTTTTCTCCAATGATTTGAAAAATCTACATGTAAATTTACTCAACAATTCAAACAATTTGATCTTGGAACCTTGAGTCAAGCCGTGACGAAACTAGAAATTTATTCAAGGGTATTCAAATTTTAAAAGAAGTGAATAAAAAATTTCGACAAAGAATATTCAATATACGTTATATATCTTTAAAAAATAATATTTTATTTATGTACACCGTTTAATTTTTTGACGAAAGGCGGTCAACTGATCACCCTTATAACCATATGGCTTCGCTGGTGTGGTTGAGCCATATCGTATGGAACATAGAGAGTAAAAGAAAGATTAAAATGGAAAAAAAAATAGAAAAAATATAAAAGGAAAAGTGAGATTTTTAGTATTAAAAAAACATAATCGTTGGGTGCTGTATTTATTTATCCTGTCTCCCTGGGATGACGCAGCCCCATTGCTGGTCCAACTTCCGATGACATCTTCATTGCGGTGGTCCCACCTCTCATCAACGGTCACGAATCATCCACAAGAATACCAAGTCAAATATAGATATAGGCTTTGTTTGGTTCGAGAAATTAAAAATAAAATCTCAGATAAAGTATATTCCTTTTATTTGTGTCACTATTTCCTTATCAATAAGTTAACAAAATATTTTTAAATTTAAAATAATTTAACTTAAATTTTTATTTTATTCTTAATGGTAGACTCTATAGTTACACAAACGTTATGATAGGTTTAGGATCATATTTTTCAAACACATATAACTGCTTTACTGTATTTAAGATTATAATTTCAAAAATCTTTTTATATTAAACTTTGATCCCATTCAAACTACTACGTATAAATTAAAACAGAAAGATCATAATGTGTGGTTGGAAGGATTAAAACATAATTTATGCATCAATAAGGAGTACAGTGCAATGGTGTATCCTAGAAGTCATTGAGTGGGTTGAAGACCATGAGATCTCAAGTTCACATTCGAGCAAGGCAAAAATATTACTAGTAAGTAATTTCTGTTATTTATCCAAATTTTGCTGGACAAAGTTATCTGATAACTATTAGTAATAAATACTCGTAAAATTAATCCGATTAATTTTAATTATTTTTTTGGCCTTTTTTTTGTTTCACAATATTTAATTTTTTTCAGATATCAATAAGGAGTTAACTTTTTTTGTTCAAAAGTTACCTTTTGAGTAAAGAGCCTAGGAGAATATGCTATATTTTCAACGAACAAATGAAGGTTAATATGGTCAATTTTATTGTCAATTGATACTAAAATATGGATTCTTTAATATGTGTGAAACAACCAAAAAATCAATTAAATTCGATCGGAGGGCAGTGTTTAACTATCTAGTATTCAAAATTTATTGGTCCGATTATTTTACATTTATGTAGCACAAATCTCACTAAAAATTGCAATTTTTTATTTTTTTTAACTGACAAAGTTCGAATTCGAAATCTTTAATTAAGGATAACAATATGTCGACAATCGAATTGGTACTTTGCTGTCACGACCCGAAATTCCCACCTTCGGGACCGTGATGGCACCTAACATTTCACTTGCTAGGCAAGCCAACGTTAGAGAATTCTCAAGTCAACTTCATCCAATTTTAATACAGAAATAATTAAGCTAAACAGAAGCTAGAATTGAGTTTGCGGAATAGTATAAAACCCATAATATTTGATACATTTAGGATCTAGAGTCACAACTTATGAGCTACTACGGTTTACTACAAACAGAGTCTGAAAGAAAGTACACTATTCTAAAAGAAAAAGAAACAGTAAAGTAATAAGTCTAGGAAGAGACTCCAGGGTCTACGGACTCCAGCATATCTATCTTGGTCTCCTGACGATCAAGTCCAACTCCTAACCTCTCGATCAGCTAGGGCAAGCACCAAAATCTGCACAGAAGTACAATGTGTAATATCAGTACAACCGACCTCATGTACTGGTAAGTGTCAAGTCTAACCTCGACGAAGTAGTGACGAGGCTATGAAAAGACACACACATAATAAACATGTGCAATTTAACAGTATATGTACGAAACAATAACAAGTAGAAACTAGACAAGTAATATCGGGAGGGGGACATGCTCATGGGAATACAAGATAGAGAATCATAGCGCTAATAACAGCCAATATACCTTGAACCAATAAGAACAAATAAACACAGTAAAGGAAAGTGCACGTCATCACCCTTCATGCTTTTACTCTCAACCTCACCATAAAATCAATAGAAACGGCACGGCATCACCTTTCGTGCATTAACTCTCATAACATGGCACGTCATCACCCTTCGTGCATTAACACTCACAATATGTTACGACATCACCCTTCCTGCATTAACACTCTCTCTTACCATAAAACAATGAACAAATAACAACAGTAATATGAAATAACGAGTTCAACATTTGGTTCCAAAATATCAACCTCAAACTCGGAATCAATACTCAATTATCACCAAAAGATCCGTAAACATGATATGAACGATCAATTTAACAATACTAGTCTAAACATGGATAATATGATCAAAGAAAGCAACAATTACAGGAACAAGTCCCACCCGCATGCTATAGCCCGACAACAACGCATAAGTACTCGTCACCTCACATATATATTGTACCCAACATCTAAACACGTAGCAAACAGACAAATAAATCATAATCCCTCAAGTCAAGGTTAACCATGACACTTACATCGCTGCAAAGACCAAACTCAAAGCTCAACCACCGCTTTGCCTTTTAGACAAGTCTCCGAACCAATAGAATCTAGCAATTTAACAACCAAACGATTCAAATTAAGCCTTAGGAACTACCCACGATTGTAAAGAATTCAATTTAAGTCATTATCGAAAAAGTCAACAAAAGTCAACACCTAGGCTCGCTTGATCCAAACCCGAGATTTGGACCAAAATTCGATTACCCATTCAACCCCGATCCCGGTTATGTAATTTTTTTTGGAATCCGACCTCAATTTGAGGTCTAAATCCCTATTTTCAAAAATCTCTAATTCTACTAAAAAAACCCCAATTTTTACCATGAAAACTCTAGTTTTTGGCTGAAATCTTAGTAAAAGTAGTGAAAGATTGAAAAAACTAGTTTAAAATCACTTACTAATGATTTGAGGAAGAACGGTTCTTTGGAAAATCGCCACTAGGGTTCTCGAGTTTGAAAATTTGAAAAATGAATCAAAAATCCATCTAAGTCAGGTTTGATTAGTTGCAGGTGTCATATATGCGACTTGGGATTCGCAAATGCAACAACAACAACAACAACCCAGTATAATCCCACTTAGTGGGGTCTGGGGAGGGTAGTGTGTACGCAGACCTTACCCCTACCCTGAAGTAGAGAGGTTGTTTCCAAATAGACCCCCGACATCCTTCCCTCCAAGAACTTCCCACCTTGCTCTTGGGAATTTGCAAATGCGAAGATTCCATCGCAAATGCGAAGATCATCACAACCTTGCTATCTTCGTAAATGCGAAGAATGGCTCGCAAATGCGAACTTTGATGCATCCGCAAATGCGACCCAATGATTGCATTTGCGATCACTGCCTACCCAACATCTACTTCGCAAATGCGAACTCTGGCTTCCCCAGCTACTCATCGCAAATGTGATGAGTTGATCGCAAATGCGAACCCATCAGTGGTCGCAAATGCGAAGATTGACCTCGCAATTGCGAGGTCTGAGGCCTGCAACAAGAACTGAAGCACACCAATAATGTTCTAAGTTCAATTCTCCGTGGCCTATCCGAAACTCACCCGAGCCCTCGGAGGCTCTAAATCAAAAGTGCACATAAGTCTAAAAACATTATACGAACTTGCTCGCGCGATCAAATCGCCAAAATAATACCTAGAACTACGAATTGAACACCATATCAAATGAAATTTTCAAGAAAACTTAGAATCTTCTATTTTCACAACCGGACTTCCGAATCATGACAAACCAACTCTATTTCTCACCAAATTTCATAGACAAGTCATAAATATGGTATTGGACCTATACCGAGTTCTGGAACCAAAATACGAACCCTATATCCAAAAAGTCAACTATGGATCAAACAATTCAAATTTCGACAAGGTTCGATATCTCGGGCTAGGGACTTCCAAAGTCAACTCAAATAAAATTTTTAGGCAAATTTCTTATTTTTATCAGTTTGTGACACAAAAACTTTTCGGAAACACGCCCGGGCTGAGCACGCAAATCGAGGAGGGATAAAATGAAGTGTTTAAAGCTTAAAAGCGCAGAATTAGATTCTAAAACATGAGATGGTCTGTCGGATCATCACATTTGCTATGATTCTCGTGTGAACGAAGGACTCCTTAATGGATTTTTTCACTTTTAGTCCCCGCCTAAATTATTTACATTCGGTAACCGAAAAATTGTATAAAATTTATATAATTTTGTGTGACATATAACAACAACAACAAACTCAAACCTCACCACTGCCTTATGAAGGTAAAGAGACTGTCTCCGAAAGTCCCTCGGCTCAAGAATTATAAAAATGAAACAATAGCAACAATAAGGTAATAAGACAATGGAAGCAAATAATACAAGAAGTAATAATAGAGATCGAGGGATATAAAATTACAAGAATAGTGCCAATCCTAATACTAATAATGACAATGTATCTAACATATGGAATATATAAATAAACAAAAATTTATAAAAAATATATTATATTTTTTCGACTATTATTTTGAAAGCTGTTATACGGTACTTATCTTTGACCACATAGGTCCAAACACAGTGACCAGCCCGGCATCGACAGCTAAGCAACCCCACAAAACCACTACACCGTGAGCACCTTCAAGACTCGCTCTCTATATCGCCAACTTTTGATCGATTTTAATCCATTTAGTGTGTGTTATGTTTTTTGTCCTTTAATTAATTGGATGAGATACCATACCACACCAAAACAAAACAAATTAGTCAACTAGCTAGTAGTGGTGAGAAAAAGAAGTCATTTTGTACTACTACTGCCCACATGATGCCACAGTACCCCATTATCTCCTTCCCTTTCTTTCTTCCCCTACATCATATTTTCTCTATCTGTCAAAAGTTTCGTTTCTTTAATGGGGTTTTGTGTATGTTCTGTCCACTGCATGTAACATCTTACTCAGAGAAAAGAAGTAAAAGATCTTTTTCCTTTACTACTACTACTAGTAGTACTAGAGTTTAGGGTATGGTGTATTCCAACACAATTCAGACACACATAAAACCCTAATGGCCGTGATAGTAGTGGATTCAGAATTTAGACGCTCTGAGTTTAAGTCAGAAGATATGTTATCTAGGTTTTTTTTTCTTCATAAAAGGGGATTGTGTTTTGGTTTTAGATCTGAATTTTAGCATGATAATGTTTGTGGTTGGGTGTGAAGCAAATACTAAGAGAAGGGGGGACAAGGAGAATCAAGACTGACAGAAGAGAGTGAGCACACGCAGGCAATTGTATAGAGATTATATTACTGTCATTTGCGTGTGCTCACTTCTCTTGCTGTCATCTCTCTCTATACTTTTCCCCCATTCTTTTTTGCTTTGCTTTGCTTCCACCACTCAATCAGCCAACACTTGTTCAAACTGCAGGGGGCGGATGCAGCGTAGGATTGCTGGCTTCAACTGAACCAATATTTTTCATGCGAAACATAAATTTATAGGTAAAATCTCTCAACTGAACTATTATTTTCGATACGAAATATAAATTTATAGGTAAAATCTCTCAACTAAATCAGTACTTTCGATGCGGAATATAAATTTATCGGTAAAATTTCTCAAAACTATAAAAGCTAGTAGATAGTTTCAATTCTAAAAATGTTGGAGATTGAACCGTAAAATTTAAACTTTGAATCCGCGGTAGGTTACGTAAGATAATTTATTATTGTTCTTTCTGATCTTTAGCTAACATATATACATCTGTCTAAAGAAAACAGTAGCTATAGCCTATAGGATTGATGGACACGACAGTCAACATTGCCACTGACATATTTGCTATGTTGTTAACTTGTTAACCACAAAAAATTACTGCACCATAATAAAATTGACACTTAAGTCAGTTGACGTGTTCTTCTCTAGTTCTCTCTTTCTCTCTCTATATATACTATTATTTCTACCAGTTTGTATTTATGTTCTCTTGGTGGGTTTTGGAGATTAGACTGAAAGAAGCTGAAGTTTATTATAAAAAAAAAATACTTAGTAGAAGAAGAATCAGAACAGTTATCAGATCAGGTAAGAATCTTAGACTTTTAGTAATAATTTTTACCAATTAAATATTGTACTAAGCGTGTCTTTTCATGAACTTATTACTCCATATCTCTGATGAAGAGGACGAATGTTAGATTTGGGAGGTACGCTTGTTACTGTTCTGTCTTAACGGATAACTAATTATTTTTACGGCTTCAGTACATTTATTTGCAAAAATCGAGAAATTTATTGAAAAAAAATTTCACTTTTATGATTTTAACGGAAAACTTTCTTCTTTCTACCTTTTCTAGCTCATTTATAACTTCATTGATTTATTTCTTGATTTTGCTCTTGACAATCTTGCTTTATTTTTCCGGCTGTATTTTTTTTTCCTTTTCTCTTTTCGTCTTATTGAAACTAGGGTATATGGGAAACAGCCTCGGGTAGAGATAGAGCCTTAGACGTCCGCGTATACACTAGCCTTCCCAAATTCTACTCGTGTGATTTTACGGTCGGGTCGTTGTTGTTGTTGTTATTGTATTTTTCTTTTCTTGAGTGTGGTAATCTAGGACTTAAAAATGAGCATAAATTTCTCAGATAAAAAGGAGGAATCTTAAAAATGTTTCTATTCTTAAAGATATTCTTTTAAGTTGATGAATCTCGGATTTGTTTTTTTGAGTATGAAGGGATTTGGTTAAATTTATGTGGGTTCTTGTTAATATTTTATGTAGGTTTGTTGACAAGCTAATCTCTCTTTAATTTTGGTAATGATATGCTTTTTAATTTCATAGTTGAGGCTAGGAAGAAAATTAGTAAAGATTAGAACTTTGAATATGACTCCTATGTTTGATAAGATTTTGCTTCCTTTTCTGCGGAGGTAGGCTTCCAGTTTTTGGTATGAAGTTTGGAGAAAATTTTCCCATGTACAGGTTAGAATATTACATGAATAATGAGCTATAATTTTCACTTGTTTGTATTTGATTTAGTTCTTTTTGTTTGTAAAGAATATAATTCATTTTGTTCTTTGTTAACTGCAGTCCTTCGTTGTAATTACACTTAAATATTCTAACCCTTTTTGATAGCCACTATTGCCTGCCGGTGGCGACATCAAGCAGCTTTTTTCTCTTCTTTTGATTAACAGGTATTTGATTTTATCATGCTTTTCTCTCTTCCGTTGTCTTAGTAAATTTAAAATCTCTCGGAATCTATGCAAATCTAGTGAAAAATAGGGTACAATGAAAGAAAAAGATCTGTACAACCAATATCAATTTGCTGGGATTTATATGTTTAGTTTAGGTTCAATGCTTTCTTCAGTCTTTTAGTCTCGTCAGAGAAAATGTGAGAACTTCTAGTACATTTTGTTATTATTTTATATGATATTGGGATTGGATTTAACTTAAATGGAGCGACATGAATTCATCTAGTCGGTCCCTTTTTTGGTATAAGCATTGTGGTGGTGGTGGTGGTGGTGGTGGTGTATGTTTTTCTTTCTTCTCTCACTGCTGCAATTGGTGAATTGTCTGATAAAGGAAGTGGCTTTGCACCACTTGCATGTCTATGTTCTATTTCTTGTTGAGATGTAGTAAATATGGAGTTCTTTTTGGGATCAGTTTAGTCCTAGTTTATATCAGCTGAATGGATATGTTTGACACAAATATTTGACTTTGGGATTGTAAACTTGAGCTAGTAAGGGTAGCTCGGTGCACAAAGTATCCCGCATTTATGTAAAATTCGGGGAAGGACCGCACCCCAAGGGGTGTTGTAGACAGTCTACCCTAATGCAAGTATTATTAGCTGTGGAATGCAAGTATTATTAGTTGCTTCCATCGTAACCTAGATCACACAAAGACAACTTTACCGTTGCTCCTAGGCTCCTCTTCAAAACTTGAGCTAGTACTTTCTTGAATAGATTTTAGTTATATACACTGACAGTGTAAGGTTATACACTACTCTCACTGAAGTTTAGCCTATTATGTCATGTTAGCAGATTACCGACTAATGTTTATCGTATAGTTCTATTTGTAATTATCTTATAAATGACTTAATTGTGGAAATATTTATGTACGAGTGCATAAGGGACTAATTTACAAGTATAAAAGGTCCAAAAGGAGACTGAGAACTTTTGCACTTGCTCTAAGTACATGTTGCTCCATCATTTTTCAAAAATTGTATAATGAAAATTATTTCACATTTCTCTCAAGTGATTGTGTGGCTTAATCGAGTTTGTATGTTGAAAAAGTATAGATACTGCATGTAGACTTCCAAAATTATTTAGCAGATTATGGTCTTGCTGAATTGAGTAATTTATGAGTTTCCTTTGAAATTAACTGACAACCATGTGTTTGAAATTTGGTATTGGGACAATATTTCTAGAAGTTTCTTGAGTCGCGGGTCTATTGAAAACAGCCTCTCTATCCCTATAAGGTAGGGGTAAAGTCTGCGTACACACTACCCTCTCAGACCCCATTTATGGAATTGCACTGGGTTTGTTGTTGTTGTTGGACAACATCTCTAGAAATTAGTATCTTCATCTTTGTGTTTCTTTATTGGTATATTTTATTTGTTTGTTTTAGTAGTAATTGACTATTAGCTGTGACTATTGGGAGGGGTAAATGGTGTTACTGTAGCTTGTGATAGTAAAGTTGCTTATTGTAAAATCCCACAAGTGGGGTCTGGGGAGGGTAGTGTTTACGCAGACCTTACTCCTACCCCGAAGGAGTAGAAAGGCTGTTTCCGGAAGACTCTCGGCTCAAGATAATAAAAAGACACTATGTTAGATATAGGCATTTTGTGAGGACTTGGTGCAATTTGTATAGCATCTTGGTGGAGGAAATAGTGTTCGAACACTATATTTGAACATGGTAGGATGGTAACAACAACAACAACAAACCCAGTGTAATCCCACAAGTAGGGTCTGGGAAAGGTAGTGTGTACTCACACCTTACCCTACCTTTAAGAACACTATATTTGGACGTGGTGTGATGGTACATCTATAAATTTCTAGTTGGGAAGTCCTTTATGCCTAACTCAATTTTCTTTAATTTGACAGAGAATTAACAACTATGAGATCTAGCATTGTTTTCTCGCAACAAAATTAAGGAATTAAAAACACTTCGAATATAGGAAGCAGCTCAAGTGGGATATTTGTTATACGTTTGAGTGTTAGAGGCTGTGAATTCTAATAATGTTCTTCAGTACACAATTTCTATTGCGTTCTTTGCTAGTTGGACTTGGATAAGTATTCTCACTAGGTTAGCAAGAATTTTGTATTGCCAGAAAAAAATGTTGAATACTCTATTATAACGATATAATTTTTCCCCTATTGTTATTGTTCAGAGACGATTTACATAACGGACCCCCAACTTATTTTGGATTGAGGCGCAGTTGTTGCAGTTTGCTGTTCTCCCCGCCCTAATGTTATTGGTAACTGAGCAGCTCTTGCTTGTACATTGCAGTATCTAAAGATGAACTATAGGCATGCGAAGCATTTCATATTAATGATATAATGAAAGGCAGCCCGAGCAAAGTGCACGAGGTTATGCTGGCTTTATGGAGGAATTTTTGGTACGGTAAAGCTCAACCCCCCACCCCCCACCCACAAGAAGCTTAGCCATGATCCTTTTCTGCTTTGTTCCCTCATTAATACGAATATCGCTAGCTAGACTTTTACTCCCTTCTCGGCTTGTCTTTTAGACTTATTGTGCAAAGATTCATGATTTGATCTTCTAACGTTTAGGTAGTAGTAGAGAAACTTCAATTTAATTAGCTCGTACTTGAATTAGAATTATTATCTTCTCTTTTGTCTATGTGACATTTATCTGGAACTTGAAATGTAAGTTTACTCCATTTTACTGGATTTCCAGAAACGTCTCTTGCAGTTCATTTGATATACAAGAGTACAATGCTTGATAGCATGATGATTCATTTAGGGGTCGTTTGGTTGGGAAACAAGTTACCCCAGGATTAATTTTCCCGAGATTGTTCTCCCACCCTCTTGAAGGGAAAAATATATCTCAAATTTAATCCCGTCCCTTATCCCTTGTACCAAACAAGCCCTTAGTTTCTTAATTTCACTTAGGTGAATCTAATGAGATGATAAATATTTGACCACTTGTTGTCAAAGCCAGTGTAACATTGAGATGACTTGCATTTTTATTATAAATTGTTCTGTTAATCCATCAGTCAGCTAAACCTCACCCTTAGAATAGCTAGTTGGTGGCACGTATACAAATCTTGGATATTGTTAAGAAAATAGAACTTGGGTCTAATTCAACTCCAAAAGTTAGCTCAGGAGGTGAGATTGACCCAATTAGAGCGCCAATTGATGTGGGCTGCTATAAAATCCCCTTGCACCCTAATACATGGATATTAGAGCGTGGTTATAATATAGGGCACAAACATTAGGAAACACATCAACTGGACTGAGGCATAGTTGTTGTTGTAGCTGTTCTCCTGTGCCTAATGTTATTGGTAACCAAGCAGCTCTTGCTTGTACAATGCAGAATCTAAAGATGAACTATTGGCATGCCAAGCATTTCATATTAATGATAAGAAGAAAAGCAGCCAGAGCAAAACGCACGAGGTTATGCTGGCTTTAGGAGGAATTTTTCGATACGCTAAACCTCACTCGATTTCTCCCCCTAAATCCCTTACCTAGAATATTAGCGGTGACCCTTTTCTGCTTTGTTCCCTCGTTGATATGGATGCTGCTAGGTTTTTCTCCCTTCTCGGCTTGTCTTTTAGGCTTGTTGTGCAAAGATTCATGAATTGATCTTCTAACATTTAGGTAATAGTAGAGCAATTTCAATTTAATTAGCTCTTACTTGAATTAGAATTATTATCTTCTCTTTTGTCCATGCGACATTTTTCTGGAACTTGAAATGTAAGTTTACACCATTTCACTTGATTTTAGAACTTGTCATCATGCATTGCTAAAATCTCTCCGCTCTAGCTATTCATACTTCTAGCAACGTCTCTCTTGCAGTTCATTGATGTACCAAGATTACAATGCTTGATAGCATGATGATTCGTTTAATTTCTTAATTTCACTTGGGTGAATCTGATGAGATGATAAATGTCTGACCACTTGTTGTCAAGACCAGTGTAACATTGATGCGACTTGCAAATTTTTGTATAAATTGTTATGTTAATCCATCAATCAATTAAACGTCACCCCTAGAATAGCTAGTTGGTGGCATCTATACAAATCTTGGATATTGTTCGGTCTAGTTTAACCCCAAATTAAGTTAGCTCATGAGGTGAGATTTACTTGATTAGATCATATAAGGAGACAATATCCCCTCCGTCGACCGATGTGGAACATGACGCTCAGACATGGATTAATTAGAGTGTGGTTAATATAGGGCACAAACATTAGGAAACACATCAAGGGATGGGCCTGGTGCTAATACCATGTTAAGAAAATTGACCTTTAGTATATTGCAACTTCAAAAAGATAGCTAATGAGATGAGAATTGTCCAAAACTATACGAGGAGACAACTCCTCATTTCTTCAACCAATGTGTGATACTCTTAACATATATCAATAAAATGATATTTGATTAATTAACAAAAAAAGTGGAAGGGAGCCTTGGCGTAACGGGTATAGTTGCTGCCGTGTGACCTCGAGCCGTAGAAACAGCCTCTTGTAGAAAATATAGGGTAAGGCTGCGTACAATAGACCATTGTGGCCCGGTCCTTTACTGGACTCCCTGCACAACGAGAGCTTAGTGCACTGGGCTGCCCTTTTAACGAAAAAACTACTGTCGATTTACTAACTTCAACTCTTGGATTCCAAGATTGTCTTCTCCAGTTGTTTCTATTCCTTTTTTTTCTCCTCTAAATTATGCTCTACTTTTTACTGCTCTAGGAAGATGCTGGCTACCCATTTCCTTGGCTGAGCTTGGAGTTCTGTAAGCTGTAAGTTTGTTAAGCTTCATTTACAAAGTTGTTACAGGAGTATGCGTAATTTAACATTTATCTGAAGTGACAATTTTTATCCAAATAGCATAATAAATTAAACTGCAAGATAAGGCATGTAAAGTTATATTGAATATATAGTTATATTTAGTCCTTCAAAATGCCAACTAAGGGCAGTCCGGTGTACTAAGCTCCCGCTATGCGTGGGGTCCGGGTAAGGGTCGGACCACAAGGGTCTATCGTACGCAGCCTTACCCTGCATTTCTGCAAGAGGCTATTTTCACGGCTCGAACCCGTGACCTCCTTCAAAATGCCAATTGTTTACTAATATTTGGCCAAAAGATAATACTCCTATAAGTTTATGCAATCTCATAAATGAAAAACTTTTTTCTATTCAATACACTGTGTTCATGATTAAATCTTCAGCCAACTGTTTCTAATTCATGTCTTGGTGCTTCCCAATGGAGCTTTTTTGTATTTTTTTTGAATATATTTTTACGTCATTGCCATCGTTTCCTTATCACATGGTTCTAAAGCTTCTAGTATTTTAAAGAATTGGATAAGCAAAACATAAAACCAGTAAAATGATCAGCTGATGATAGGATTGAATGTACTATATATTACGTGATGGTAGTTTCTTCACTTCCTAGCAAAATTGTGAATTCATAATCTTTATCTGATTGTCTAAAAGCTATTTCCAGTAAAGAATAAAATGCATAAAATAATGGAAAAGATTAATAATAGGCATGCTGTGTAACCTTTGGAAGAACATATGCAGTGCAAAGTATGGAGGAAAGTCATCCTCCGTGGCCAGGGTCTTGTTCTCTAGTAACTCAGATGTTTCAGCGATGCTGAGAACCTGTTTCCCTCATATCACATGGCCGTTCAACTGGAATGAACTAAAACCGATAGTTGAACAAATTAAGAACCACACCTCTGTCATTCAAGTCATCTGGCAAAGACCTGAAACAAATTTTGTGAAGGTCAATAGTGATGGGAGTGCTTTGAGTAATCCAGGTAGAATTGGGTTCGAGTCATTGAGGGGAAGAGTGGGAAAAACCACTATCGGTCTCTAGTGAGCGGGTATACCAAATCAAAAGGAAAAAAGAAGAAATAAGTTATTTGGGCCTTTTGGTGACTGGGGTTTACTAAATTCCATATTGTCGAAAGAAATATAGTCCTATTTCTAGTTTATGTCAAGTCACTACGTATATCAAGTTTGCAAGGTGGGCTATGTCAAGTCGTAACGTAGTCGAGTTTGGAAGGTGGGCTATGTCAAGTCGCAACATATGTCAAGTTTGCAAGGTGGGCTATGTCAAGTCGCAACGTAGTCAAGTTTGGAAGGTGGGCTATGTCAAGTCGCAACGTATGTCAAGTTTGTAAGGTGGGATTTACCAAATGCCATACATCGAAAAGAATATAGTCCTATTGCAAGTCGAAATTTACAATCTATACCACTTGGATATATAATTCAAAGGTCTAGATTTAATTTTGTGCATTGATTGACTCTTTTGTAGGGATAAGGCTGGGGTAAGGCTACGTACATCTCATCCTCCCTAAACCGCACTTGTGGGAATACACTGAGTTGTTATTGTTGTCGTTGTTGTTGTTGTTGATCGACTCTTTTGTAGTTATATTCTATGACAATTTGGTTTTATGTCTTCACGTGGTGGTCTAGAATGGCTTGGAGCGCTCTAATGCCAGGCTAGATGTTATGATTGCTTTATAAGCGAGGTAAAACATGATAGATAATGGTAAGGAAGGGATAAATTAGTCACTTCACTTATTGGAAGTTTTTTAATGGTGATTAGTGTCCAGAAGGGGAAAAAATAAAGGAGCAGAAGTTTGTTAATCTTGTGCATTAATTAGAGAATGTGTATATAGGTAGTTAAGCTATTCTTTGTTAAAATGATATTTGCAGGGATTTGGATGCTGAAGCGGAGGGATGAAAATCAGTGTAACCTTAATTCAAGTATGATTAAGGTAAGTGATCCATTCTCCTACATTGTTACGTTTCGTATCCCTCTCCCACACTCCACTCACTTATAAGCATGGGACTTGTTTATGCAGAAAAATCACATCTTCAAGTGAGTTTCGGATACCGGATGCATTAAAAAAAAATATTTTCATTTTTTCCTAAAAAAGCATTTAAAATGAAGTCTATGTGCGAAATGGGGCTTAAATAGCAACTGACTCCGCATCTGGGGTCCGCGCAACGCCACCTCTAAGACGAGCTTCTGCAACCTGATATTCCAAAACCTCTCTCGAACACCCCAAATCTCACCGAGACCCCCGGAATCCCGTCCAATCATTACAATAAGTTTGTGTAGTATACCATATACAAACTTGTCCAAGAGCTCAAAACATATTCGGAAACTTCACATCTAAGAGTCAAGATCCAAACCAAAATATAAACTTTCTCTTAAGTTCTTCAAGTTTCAATTTTCACAAGATAGACCCGAATCACATCCAAGCCCTTCGGTTCACCTCTCAACCATTCCAACAAGTCCAAGAGAGATTCATGATTGTTCATGGTTCATTCTTAGCTCTTCAATGTAAAATTAAAATTTCAAATTGGAGACCGGTTAAAAGTCTTTTCTGGAACATTGATTGCACTATTAACAGCTTTAGGACCTTGACAGTCCCCATCTAGACTGCCTATGTGTTTAACCAAATTTGCACCATTTTGAACATGTCCTGCCCCTCCTTGACAATTCTGCCCAGAAACAGCAACAACTGCATCAGCACTAACCTTCAAAGCAACAGCTGGGAGTTTGAGTTTCAATGAACCTGCTGCATTACCTACTGATATTCCTTGATTATCAGTAGTTAAATCCAACACTTGCACATCTGCTCGATCACCAACTTCCTTTCGCCCAGCAGTAGCCACAAAACTTTGTTTTCCTCCTTCATTTTGCAAAAGTTGCTGATTTTCTACTGTTAAGAATTTTTTTGGAGATGGCGGACCATTTAGCTGGTTGAATCATTTATCCTGCTTCATGAGCCACTTGTGTTTCTTAAAAAAAGAAAAGGTCCTTAGCTTCTAGATTGATTGTGCTATTTAAGGATGAACTATGTGACTTGAGTGATCAATTAAGTTATGAGAATAATCGGTCATATATATCTGAATCGCTTGTACCGAAGAACATGAGTGATCCATAATGAAGATGGGACTGTTCTTTTGCTACGAAATAAACGAGTAATTACTTGCCAGTAGTCAAAATCAGATACAATGGCTCCAAGCAATTACTTGCTAGCTTTATGCATTCTCTTGTTCCTTGTAGCAGCCACCAACATTGCTTATGCAAACAACAGTTATGGAAATGGACCTAATTTGCTTGTTCCTAAGCCGCAGTATGTTCAGTTGTTGGTTATAATGTTGTTTTTCGTAATAGCATATTCTGTTGTTGTTTTGGTTCAATAGCTGTCAGACATAATATTGTTTAGATGGTGTTGTTTTGGTTCAGTAATTTGTGCTTGAAGCTGCTTTAAGTACTTTATGACTCAATTATCCTAAAAATTTTGTTTAATTATTTCTCATTGTCTTTTGCAGGTGCAGTGATTGCGGATGAAAGCAGTGACGAAGACTTTACTTGAGTGTTGTTGATCGTTATTAGACTTTCTATTATTATGTTTAAGGATATTTTAGTTTAGAATTTTTTGTATGCAAACTCATCTATTTTGACTTTTGAATTGTTGACCAAACAAACAATGTATCCATATTTTGTTTTTGCACATGGATAATGCTAGTTGGATATGGTGTAAACAATTTCATAGAATAGGAAAATATTTCTCATTTTGCTTCCATAAATTTTGGAAATTATAATTTGTTGCAATAGAGAATATAGCCGTTCCAATAGACCTAGCAAATAATAAGAGCAACACTTAATAACCGTTCCCTTATGTCACAATATCTCTGGTACAGATAAATGTTCCAATATATCACAAAAACTGTTAGCAATATATCATGCAAAACCGTTGCAATAGACTTAAAAAATCAATTGTATTAGTATACCATGACGGTTTATAACCGTCCCAACAAAAAAGAAAACCGCTCCTATAGATAGGGTAATGGTAGCAGTCCAAACCGTTACAATATCCCTATCTATGAAGGCGATTTTCAAACCGTTGCAAATAACCGTTCCAATAGACCTATTGTAACGCCGAATCCCGGAAAGCGTCCAAATCCGTCCCAATAGACCTATAGGGACGGTTAGTATATCTATTGCAACGGTTTTCAAAGGGTTGCCGTAGCTGTAATTTCTAGTAGTGTGAGTCACTCTAAGAGTAGAATCAGTAGCTCACCTCACGTTTTAGGAACCAAATGAGAAATCACACGTAGACGAACCTAAGCATTCTCCTACTCTACAGAACCCTTCTTGCTGCTGAATCTAACTTTATAGGAACATATATGGCCGTCATAGGCATATTTATTATGTCCAGCCCGAAGGAATTAAAAGGGCAGCCCGATGCACAAAGTATCCGCATTTATGCAGGGTCCGGGAAGAGCCGTACCCCAAAGGGGGTGTGATGTAGGCAGCCTACCCTGATGCAAGTATCAGTGGCTGATTCTACGGCTCGAACCCGTGGCCTATAGGTTACACTGAGACAACCTTGACCGTTGCTTTAAGGCTTCTTTCAACGGGAAGGAACTATGATTTTGAAAATATTTTGTATGTTTGAAGGTTAAGGGACATAAATAAGTTGAATCAATCAATTTAAATATCTAGTGTTTGGTACGTAACCTATGCTATTATGATGCGTTATTGCTATATGGTGTGCTGCTGTGCTTTGGGATATCAATATAGAGTTAAATTTAACTGAAAGAATGTACTTCTTTGTTGTCTCGTCAGCTTTGACTATTGATTACCTTATGTGTGGTGTTCCCTCCCACTATGTAAAAAATTGGACCAAACACACCGTAGAGCATGCACATTTTCAAAAGGAATTGGGCCAAACACACTGATACATTATTAAGGGGCATTTGCATCTATACCCGCTTTTTGTGTCACGTTTTAACTTGTGCCCGCTTTGCAAAAAAAAATTGCAAGCGTACCCGCTTTTTCGCATAACTTCAGCATAAGGGGCTGAAGTAGCAAAGGCAATCGCGCAAAACTTCAGCATTCTAGTAGCCGGGCCTGAAGTTCAGTTCTACAGCTGAAGTTTTTGTTTTGTAACTGTCGAACTTCAGCTCTAGAGCTGAAGTTTTTGTTTGTAAGCTTCAGTTCTAGAGCTGAAGTTTTTGTTTTTTAACTATCGAACTTCAGCTCTAGAGCTGAAATTTTTTGTTTGTAACTGGGGAACTTCAGCTCTAGAGCTGAAGTTTTTGTTTTTTTAACTGGCGAAGAGTTGAAGTTCCAAGACTGCAACTGCATAGGTGTAACTCAACAATGTTATCCATGAGTGCGTGGAAGATAAGAAATGACTGGACAAGAAAATATACAACACTATTAGCATGGGAAAACGTATGGTATCCAAAATCTGCTGGGGGTTTCAATATTATTGCTATGATTGGATGGGTATCGACTTCTTTTTCATTCGTCAATGTTGTTTTTTGTTAATAAACTGGTCCAGACCAACCAAGGCAACAATGTTACCACAAGGTATATCCTCAACAGTTTCCTGCTTCTTGCTCATCCAGATAAGAGTTCACACTGACGAAGAAAATAAGTTACATTAGAAAAGCAGCACGAGAAGCCTAGATTTCTGGCACTTTTGTACAGAGATGTATTAGTGGTTTTAACTATAGTCAAACTTATACATAGCCGTAACAGATTTCTTGCATAAAAGGGAGAAGGAGAAGGAGGAGGAGAAAGGGAGCTGAAATTGTTTAAAAGCGGGTACAAGTTAAAAGTTTTAAAAAAAATGGGTATAAGTTAAATGGAGGCGATCAAATAGGGCGCCCCGTGCAATTTTTACCATCATTAAAAGGAATCGGGCCTTGAACTTGATGGGTATCTACGTGGATATTTTTGGACTTTACTGTTTACTTCAACTTTTTATTACAGGTTGGGCCTTGAACTTAATGGATCACTAGTCGTTTGTGGGCTCTGATGTTCATTTTCTAAAAATATTTTGTAGATTTGAACTAAATAGCCAACCGATTAAACAAAAAATAATCGAGAATATATATATATATATATATATCGATTAGAAAAAATAACAGTAAATCCAACATACTATTTGTATAGTAAATATTTCTTTTTTTCTTCTAAGTTCTGAATTTTATTAAAACTATCGGATTAAATTTAGAGCTTTTAACACATTTATTCGATCGGCAACAAATAATTATAGGCGTTATCCAAAATATACAAAAAATATATACTGATTATATATATATATATATATATATATATATATATATATATATATATATATATATATATATTGTGTGTGTGTGTTATACATTAATATACAAAAAATATAAAGTCATCGACTATTTATTTTAGTGGCGATTATATAGTGTAGATTTCCTTAAATAATTAATTTAGTACAGACACATTGAAGATTTTTAGCTATAACATTACATCATTATACATAGTCTATAATTAAATAGACATTCCAACTTGTTGAGGTCCGTAATTGACAGTTGTTTAAGGAGATTGTCAATCTCAATTACATAATTCAATCATTGCCGTCTTAATAATTATTATAATAATTCTGCTTAGCTTTGAATAAAACCTGCATCGTCCATTTCAAATACTACGAAATAATATTCCAAAAATATAAATTTAAATAATTGATTGTTAATAATAAACTTAAGTTCATAATATATTATTAATAAAATTGTCACCTCAGATCTAAATATCTCCCCAAATTTATGATTATTGACCACAAAAGCATTCTGGCCTTACACCTATGTACTTTCTCTGTTCATTTAATAAATTTATGAATAATTTGATATTTTTAAAGTCTTAAGAAAATGATTAACGTAAACGTCATGTTTTGTTTTGAAAGTACAAGGTATCATTGTTGTTTTGAGTAAGTATAATAATTGAGATTCTTTGTCGCCTTAATTAGATTGTCATTTTCAGGAGTCTAATACATGAATCTAATTTATAGTTATATTTTGTCATATAATTGGTCCATAATTTAATTTTTTTGGGGGGTGAGGTGTGGTAAAGGGTTACATGTTAATTGCAGAATATAAATGGAAAATATTGAAACCCGATTAATTGGATTGGAATATGAGCAAAAGAAACAACGATTTATATACTGAAATATGTGTAAATTATATGGGAGTGAATAAAGAAACCACCTACAGTTTGCATTTTTATATTCCCTGTGCCTTGTATACCTTTGTCTTGTTATTAAGATACTATTTTAAGACATTCATATAAAATAGAGATGATATGCCTAGTTTACTATTTGATGCACAAACAAGTAAAAATTAGAGATATTTTTAGAAAGCGTTTTTTTTATATACCAATTGTGGCTAAGTCATTTTTCTTCTATAAATAGAAGGGTCTTACACCATTGTACATCATCCTAAAATTCAATAAGAATTTCCTCTCTCTTTCTCTTCAATATTGTTCTTCTACTTTTATTGTTTTATTACACGCTATCAGCACAAGACTCTACCGTCTTAAGAAGTACTTTGAGAAGATTAAGCAAATACGAATATCTCACAAAGCAAACTTGGATCACGTTCAATTGTAAAAATATTTGTTTAGTTGATTCATGTACAACACATACAATATTCAAAGAGAAGAAATATTTCTCTCATTTAAGTATGTGTAAGGCAGATGTTACTACAATTTCTGATAGTAGTAAATTAATTGAAGGCTCTGGAAAAGCTACTATAACTCTGCATAAAGGAACAATACTTATCATAGAGAATGCAATGTTCTCCTCCAAGTCCAAGAAGAACTTGTTGAGTTTTAAAGATATCCGCCGAAATGGATATCATATTGAGACAATAGATGAGAATAATCTTGAATATCTCATCATTACCAAGAATGTCTCTGGCCAAAAGAGGGTTATTGAGAAGTTCCCATCTTTATCTTGTGGCCTGTATTGGACAAGAATTAGTGCAATTGAGGCACATTCTATTGAGAACCAAAAGGTTACTGATTCCAATACTTTTGTACTTTGGCATGATCGATTAGGACACCCTAGATCAATTATGATGAGACGAATTATAGAAAACTCAAATGGGCATCCATTAAAGAATTTAAAGATTCTTTTAAATAATGAATTTTCTTGCACTTTTTGTTATCAAGGTAAGTTAATTATTAGACCATCACCAACAAAGGTTGGAATTCAGTCCCCTGCATTTTTGGAATGTATATAAGGGGATATTTGTGGACCTATTCACCCACCTAGTGGGTCGTTTAGATATTTTATGGTCTTAATAGATGCATCTTCTAGATGGTCTCATGTGTGCCTATTGTCATCTCGCAACCCTGCGTTTGCAAAATTAATGACACAAATAATTCGATTACAGGCACAATTTTTCGATAATCCAATTAAGTCTATTAGACTTGATAATGCTGCTCAGTTTTTATCCCAAGCATTTAATGATTATTGCTTATCAATTGGGATAAAAGTGGAACATCCTATAGCTCATGTTCACACTCAAAATGGTCTTGCAGAGTCTTTAATTAAATGTCTACAATTGATAGCAAGATCGTTACTCATGAAAACGAGGCTGCTCACTTCTGTTTGGGGTCACGCCATTTTGCATGCAGCAATGCTAGTTCGTCTCAAACCAATAAATTATCATAAATATTCCCCGTTGCAATTAGTTTTGGATCATGAACCTAATATATCCCATTTAAGAATTTTTGGATTCACAATATATGT